TCCTCTATCGCCATGACGCGATGTTCCAACTTGCCTAACCCTTCCTCCACTTCTTGTACCCGTTCGACAGCCTTTTGCAGTCCCTTCGTGAAATCTTTATGCATGTCTTCCAAGCGACGCGCTTGCTCCTCTTGGCGACGAGCTTGATCTTCTTTCAGCTCCCGTAGCTGCTCCGCCTGACAGCGTGCTTGCTCCCGAAGCTGTTCTGCCTGACAGCGTGCTTGCTCCCGTAGCTGTTCTGCCTGACAGCGTGCTTGCTCCTCTTGGCGACGAGCTTGCTCCTCTTGGCGACGAGCTTGATCTTCTTTCAGCTCCCGTAGTTGTTCTTCTTGGCGGCGCGCTTGCTCTACCATCATTTGCTGCAGCTGTAGCAGAAGATCCACCTGCACAGGCTTGGCTTCTGCATCGCTGGTTTGAGCTGCAGCACCATCTTCCCTCACTCGCTGCGCTTGTGACATTGCACGGGTACTCACTCCTCTTACGTCCTGCGGCACTAGCGGCATTTTTCTCCAATCCCACTTCTGACACCAAATGTTACGAGCCTGACGTCACGTTCCTGACTATGTGGGCTTGGGTTACGGGATTGGATGAAATAAAACACTAATACCGGTTTTAGACTTTCTATTGCACTTAGATGACAGCGCCCTCGGAGTTAAGTTATCGGCGTTCCTCTCCAGCAGAGTCCGGGCGACTGACACAAACTTCCGTTTGCCGCTCACTGTTCACGCTGACTTTCACTTAACTCACTGCACTTCACTATTTCACTGCACTGCACTATTTCACTCACTTTTCTTCTTTTTCACTTCTTCCTTTTCTTCCGAATCGCTTTGGACTTAGAACTCAACTGCCAGCGGTGAGCCGCAGTTCCGCTTATATACCCCCGGTCAGGTTCTGGAACATTCAATTTCGTTATTCTTTTTGATCGTCATGCCTCCAGAACCTTCCAATAATTTCGTTATTCATTTTTATTTATTCTCCTTCTCGCTCTTTAATTTTTCATCTCTTTCACACAAATAATTCCAGAAAGTTCGACAAAACTTCTATCAACTAAAAAACTTCATGTTTACGGCGGGACTCGAACTCGGGGTCTCTGTGGTGTAATCCACATGCCTTACCGATTACACCAACTCGTGTTGACAATTCACGACGAAATTTACAATCTCTAGGCAACGTTTGACAACCATCCATTGACGTCATGATGTCAAAGAGTTTGAACCACTTTTCCGTCACATTATAAAGAATAAAACGGTGAAACAATTTCCGTGATCTCGAAGAATAGAGTTATAATGAACATTTTAAATTATGATCGTATGTACATTTGATTGGACAAATGCTTTAGTCTGAGTTTCAAGGGCTGCTTCTACAGAACCTTTGTTTGATAATCTATAAAATGCAAGCCACTGTAAACTTTGCTACATTGTAATAGGTTCTATTTCATTTTTCAGCTGAAAAAATGCCATACAGGTGTGTGCAACTTTGCGTAAGCGGTTGAATACCATTTAGTGGATTCCCAGTTAATGGAACAAAGCTTTAAGAGGCCAGCCGAAGTATTTCTGGTGTAAAATTGACTTTCGTAAGCGCAAACCCGTGAAACATCCAGCCGTTTTTAACTAAGCTGAATTCTAGATCTGGTTCAGTCGAAATAGTCAGGAATCGCTCAGAATATGACGTGTTGTAGAAAAATGTACCAACTTACAGTTTCTTCTAATCTTTACATTACAAATATTATAAAGAGGAAAGGTTTGATTTTTTGTTTGTTTGTTTGTTTGTATGAATTGAATAGGCTCCGAAACTACTTGGTAGATTTGAAAAATTCTTTCACTGTTTGAAAGCTACATCATTCCTGAGTGACATAGGCTATATTTCATTTTCAAAAAAAAATAGGCATCCTTACTAAAATTACGATAACGTAATCCAAGGTGTGAAAAAAATATCAAAAAACTACCTTACATCGCGTGCGCTGCGAAAACTATTGATGATAGAACAAAATGATATACTACATTTTTTTAGAACACACCATTATCTACAAAAAAATCTGCGGCAGCATGTCTCTAACTATTACAGTCATGTCACAATAAGAGTTATTTTATTGAAAAAAATAAATTAAAATACCACCGCTACAAAAAGCTCTTTATTTGCACCTTGGTATTAACCCTTATCAAAATAAATGATGTATTATTTAAGACTGCTTCAATATCTTTATATTACTTTTTGAATTATTCGATTCTGACAATCCATTCAAAAGATATCACGAGTTAAAAAAAATTAAAAAATAAACTGTATTCGGCTAGCTATGCGTTGTAGGCGTCACTCGGGACGGGAGGGGGGTTAAGATCACGGAATAAACTTGCCGCGCGGCTCACAATTAAAAAAAAATATCAAAAAAAAGAAAGAATCCCCAAAAATATACAAAAAAGCACATAAATACAAAAAAATCATTAAATAATATCTAAATTTAATGATTCTTATTTTTTTTATTTACTCTTTTTTAGGAGCTCGACGCAAAAAGGGATGAATATGTGTCATATTATTATTATTTGTTTGTTCTATCCTTTCACGGCACCACAGGGTCCCGGACCTTTGGAAGGCGTACGAGGAGCCGAAGCCAACTCGCAGAGGCCCGTTGAACAGTTTTAATCTAAATGTGATGGGACATCAGCCGGCAATTATCCCTGTATGCACTATATAAGTGCACCCAAGGACAATCCCTGGTTGATGCAAGACTATTGTGAAATGTGGTAAAAATTGATAGGGTTATGAATATGGGTTGCTATGGACTGGTGGATATGATAACTATGGAAATACTATGGCCCCTGCCCCTGACCAATATTGATACATACGGATAAACAGGCAGGGGGTGACTGGCAAACTCAATTAATGGGCCCCCGGAAACGGCCGCTAGCATGTAGCGACACGGAGGCAACATACGTTGAGCTGCTTGGGGAAGGAGAGACCCATACCATACCACGGCTATCAGAGCAATCCCGGAAGTACGGTCAAGACCCCTACCAGCACCTTACTGAGATACATCCTTCCCCCGAGTCTCCTTCAACTCCTACTCTTGCGAATCTCCACTCAAGCCAGCCAATTAAGGCAATATATTATTATGAATGTGTTAAAATTAACAAATCTAAATGTAATGTTTAATGCCCGTGCGAAGCCGGGACGGGCCGCTAGTATTCTTTAATAATTTGTTTTTCCTTATGTTATTTGATGTAATAATTGGACAATCACGCTTTTCTTTCCACTCAAATTAAATTTTAAATGATTCACTAATTATTGCTCGAGGTGCGGTAAAAATATTGGAGAAAACGCTGGTTACTTTTTTCAACTATTCACCGCTGACATAGGAAAACATCATGAAGAAATCTGGATTTATGAATTTCTTGTTAAAATATTGAAAATGGCAATCCACTTTGAACTAAGAGAGAAAAGGCCTTTGATGAGCAATGGGCACTTATAGGCTGACGATGACGTTAAAGCATTCAACTTAAAAAGATTAGTCAGAATCTGCGCTTATTACCTATATGTATAGATAAGAAGGTATTGTCAAAAAATAGTCTAGTAGTTCGATCTGTCAGGTAACTTTAAAAAGGATATGACGATAAAGAACTGTCTAACAAACAGATGTGATTTTGAGGGTATATCATTTTTTATACATCTGTGGACTCGTTACTAAAGGAGCGATACTTTTATCAAAGGCTGGACACAATATATAAGGAGTATAGTTGGATACTACATAGAGATAGTACTTAACGTATTCAAAATTTGGTCTATTCAATTTTGAATTCTCTGTAAAGGCAGAATAGGGTCTCCAATTGTATATTATTTCGAATTGCCTTTGACCTTGACTTTCAGTCCATGAAGTCACTGTCCGTGAGAAGTGAGCTTTAGGTGATTGGCTATTTAATAGCCCGTCTTAGCTTACTCGTAAGTAGTTCTCATGTCGTGCGGAAACGATAAAGTAGCTTAACGACGAATAAAGCGTTAAATTAATTAAAACATTAATTATCCAACATTTTTTTTTTCTTCACGTGTTGTATAATATGTATACCAATCGAATAAGCCTAAGAGTCCATCGTATGTTCGCAAATACCAGTCTCATTGCGAAGCAATAAGGCTGGTTTTCGTGTCTCAATTTGTACGGTTAAATTGATTTGAATTTAGAACTTAAAGCAAATAAAAAAAGAAAAGAAAAAAACATTGTCATTTAGATGTAGGTACTTTGTTGTTCTGAAACAAGAAAATAAAGCCACGAGAACAGTAGGAATGAAGAAGGCGGCGGAGTACGTGAGGGAATTATCCTCTTCACGCCCCAGCCGCCGCAGTAGGCGACACTCCGGGCGTCGAGGATTGAGAGATGATCTCAATCCTCAAATCCTAATTCCGACGCCGTAAGCGCGGGCTGTGGACGGCGAGTAAGGGTGGGTCGCCGCCTGACCAGAACCAGACCCGAGTGTACGGCGCGTCACGTTCCACGTCAATGGGCCAGTAGACCAGTGGACCCTATATGGCTGATGTTCAGCTGGGGTTGCGAGAAAAGAGCAATAAGGCACCGCGGTAGGCACTCGGACTAGAGCCGGAGAAGGAAAGGGGGGTTTTAGTCAGTAATAATGACCCTAAGGGCGGGGGAAGTCATTTGATGAATATTTATTTATTTATTTGGACAATCAGTAGTTGTTACATTAATACTTAACTTAACTTAATATTATTTTAAAATAATACATAAATGCACAACATTTTAAGACGTCACAGCATGCATCATAAGGTAACACTGGTTTTATAATACCCATTCAGTTTTATAATATCCCTAATACAAAGATAAAAAAGACATTATAAATTCAACACGACATCAAATTTATTTTTAGGCCACAATAAGAGTTCATTATAAAATTGTAACAAAGTAAAAGTTTTATTTTTCATAAATAAACTGCAAAACACACTCTTATTGCTACGACATAAAGCACATTAAGTGCTTGGTAATCTAACCACAAAGCAAAATGCATCGTCATGCGGTCAGTTCCCTAAATTAGGAATAAAAGAAGGATGAATCTGAAAAGGGAAATTTTTATTTAAAAATAGAATGTATTCATGCTGCTCTCTTTATTTTGTTTTTATTTTATAATGTACTAGCTACTCTGGCGCGGTTTCACCCGCTGTTCGGCTCCATTTGATCGTAGCGTAATGTTTTATAGCCTATAGCACTCAGGAACATTGTAGCTATCTATCAGTGATAGAATTTTGGCAATCCGAACAGCCGTTCCAATGATTACCCCCTACATACAAACTTACAAATTTTACCTTTTAAAATATAAGTATAGAAGTATAGATGTAAACAAGATACATATAAATTAAAAATAAAAAAAACCCGACACATAAATCATAAGCTACCTTTAAAAAGTACACATATAATACATAAAAAACTTAATTGAAATCGTTTCATCCGTTCAGGAGCTATGATGCCACAGACACACAGACAGTCACGTCGAACTTATTAAAGTTTTTTGTGACGTACATGTATAACATGTGACATGAAAATCGGTTTTTCTTCCTTGCCCCCCTTGGCCCATAACCCCCAATAACTTTTAAAGGAGTCAATAGATTTTCATCAAACATGTCTAAGAACACTCGCCTTCAAAACACCTGTAATACAGAAAGATAAGGATAGAAATAGAGATAGCGATAGAAGTAGGGATAGAGATAGAGATAGAGATAGAGGTAGAGATAGAGATAGAGATAGAGATAGAGACAGAGACAGAGACAGAGACAGAGACAGAGACAGAGACAGAGACAGAGACAGAGACAGAGACAGAGACAGAGACAGAGACAGAGACAGAGACAGAGACAGAGACAGAGACAGAGACAGAGACAGAGACAGAGACAGAGACAGAGACAGAGACAGAGACAGAGACAGAGACAGAGACAGAGACAGAGACAGAGACAGAGACAGAGACAGAGACAGAGACAGAGACAGAGACAGAGACAGAGACAGAGACAGAGACAGAGACAGAGACAGAGACAGAGACAGAGACAGAGACAGAGACAGAGACAGAGACAGAGACAGAGACAGAGACAGAGACAGAGACAGAGACAGAGACAGAGACAGAGACAGAGACAGAGACAGAGACAGAGACAGAGACAGAGACAGAGACAGAGACAGAGACAGAGACAGAGACAGAGACAGAGACAGAGACAGAGACAGAGACAGAGACAGAGACAGAGACAGAGACAGAGACAGAGACAGAGACAGAGACAGAGACAGAGACAGAGACAGAGACAGAGACAGAGACAGAGACAGAGACAGAGACAGAGACAGAGACAGAGACAGAGACAGAGACAGAGACAGAGACAGAGACAGAGACAGAGACAGAGACAGAGACAGAGACAGAGACAGAGACAGAGACAGAGACAGAGACAGAGACAGAGACAGAGACAGAGACAGAGACAGAGACAGAGACAGAGACAGAGACAGAGACAGAGACAGAGACAGAGACAGAGACAGAGACAGAGACAGAGACAGAGACAGAGACAGAGACAGAGACAGAGACAGAGACAGAGACAGAGACAGAGACAGAGACAGAGACAGAGACAGAGACAGAGACAGAGAAAAAATTTGTGTTAATCTGATGTTCCGTCACGATTCATACCTACTTAATAAATTTTAAAAATGTTTAGTTAAAAAATATAACTGAAGGTAACCTTATTGTTCTATATCTGAACTACCAAGTATTTCCATTATAAAGCCATCAGTAAAACGGTAATCGATTTGTGCAATGAATATCAATAAAAGGAAAATAACAGCAAAAATGACTCATAAAAACGCACTTGAAAAAAACAGCATTCGAAATTTGAAACACGTTTTTTTTGGTCTTGCCACACCGCACTTCACCCTTGAACTCGAATTGATAAACAACATTCCTATCCGCGTACAAACCGCCACCGGAAAACAGGAAGCTAGGTAATACCAATCATGACTGTCAATTGGAATGTTCCAAACTTAATTTCAACTGTACATGTCTAGATTCAAGGTTGAAAATCTAACGATGGATAAGTTTATCAAAATGTAATTTAATGATAGTATACAAATGTTAATATGATTGATATTTTTGTTTATTGAAGACGGAAACGATTATATTATATGGAAGTAAGTAGGTATATTACACATAGGTACAAAATAATACGCTCATTGCCTTAATGATACTTTAAGCAGGGTCAGCGCAAAAGCGTTTACGGAAACTTCAGTTTATAGATAATATATATGTATAAGTACTCTATATAGTTATTATGATTTAGTTTTTTTATTTTTATGTGCTAGGTCGGCAAACGAGCAGACCTGATGGTAAGCAATCAGCGCCGCCCATGGACACCCGCAACAACAGAGGAGTTACGAGTGCGTTGCTGACCTTTTTGAATTGAGGATTTCGGAGATTTAGGGATTTTACCTAATCCTTAAATATCCGAAACCTAATTACTAAAAGACCGGCAAGGCACTTGTGTTGCAGGTGTCCATGGGCGACGACGGTTGCCTACCTTCAGGTAGCCCCGTTTGCTTGTATGCGACTGACCGATATACCTATCTCATAAAAAAACTTTCTTCTGTATCCCTGTATGTGTAAATATTTACAATATATACATCACAATATGTAAAAACCACTTAAAGAGTTATCTAGTCAAATACCATGGAAACTATTGAACCAATTTTACTTAAAATCAGAACTTACACAATTGCGATCAATTTCAAATTCGACAAAATAAATAACGAGTTCTTATTTCTAATAATAATAATTAGAGTCACTGATTACTTAAATCAGTGACTCTAAAGTAAATTGGTAATATTAAATTGTTTCTCTCTGTCTCCCTAAACATTAAACTTTTTCGAAAATGATCGTGAATCATTGATAATAAATACTTGTCGCAGTGTCGCAGAACCATCAAAGAGGAACATCGCTATAGTTTAGAATTGGGTAGTTTCCTAGGTCAAAAATAAATTAATTCGATGTTTCAATACAATAAAACATTGAAAAATAACTATACTTTTATTCATCGATCGATCGATACACCAAGTTTTAGATTTTTTTAGCTAATTATTGTGAAATACGTAAGCTATTTGACGCAAAAATGTTATGACGTCATAGCTCAGTTTTTCATACAAATTTCATAGAAAACTATCGTTTTTGACGTTTGGATAAAAGTATTGAATTTGACTAGTTGGAAACTACCGTATTACGCTATCTATTGTCGTTCGGAAACGTCAAGCAGTTGCTTGGGTATGGTCGGTACCGAACGTGGCATCGTTGATAGTTGTCAGCTGTCATGTCTTTTTGACATTGGAAGTATTGGATGGAAGGATGGAAAAGACGTTTCTTTTGAGTTGGACACGAGAGTGAGGGGTCGTTCTGCCAGCCTGTACCGAACTTACCGCGTTTCGGTTGGTCGTTCTGATCATCTCATTTACGATTTTGTTATTACATCATGTCGGACCGGGTTTCTATAGGCGATTTACCTGGAATGGGTGAACTGACCTCCTTATACTTAATTGTTTCTGTTATTTGAATTAATAATTTACTATTTGCTGAAAGAAATAAAATTAAAAACGTCTAAAAATCTTTCCTGGCAGTTTCTTATGTTATCTATTACTTAAGACAAACTTCGACAAACGAGGCTGACTTTAAAAGGGCCAGTCAAATTAAATAATATAACACACTAAATCACCTAACATGTGAACTGAACCAGATATCTCAAGCATCTGTTTCTCACATAAAAGTCTAGACAAGGCGTGTAATTAGGGCTAGTCTAGACTACAATATTAATAGACAGCTCGTCCCTAGACGGAGACAAGGCCTTAGTAAGACTAGGTATTAATATTTACAAAATAACGATACCTTATCATATAAGGAGGATTATAGCCCAATGATATGTCTAGAATGATACTTTAGTTAGTTAACTTAGTGTGAGAAAGGTGTTGAGTTAATATTTGATATCTTAGTATGATGTCTAAGTATTACTGATTTCTCAGAAACCAAGTGTAAGTGTGTGTTTGACTGACTTAAAGTTCTGTTGTGGGTACGGGGTGGGCCGCTACGATTTTGGCTGCGGATGAATTTGATACTTGTACCACGTGAGAAACAGGACATCAGTGAGGTTTTTATTCAGTAAGAGGCCAGGGAGTCCACATTGGAATTTTCCACCTCGTGGTAGAAACCTTTAGTGTTTAGTTACTATGAAAGGTATATGTATTGTTTGTGACCGTCAAAGTTTTTTGTCATAACATGTAATCTATAAATTGTCAATGAAATGGCTGCGCAAGAAGCCCGTCGTATCTATTTATTCGGCCATTTTAAAATGGCTAATTTTGCTTAAAATAATAACCTTTTTTATTTAATAGGTCGGTAGACAGATCTCCTAATGGAAGAGCAATCGGTTTCGCCCCAATATAATCAGTCTTTTGAGATCTTTGGGGGTGATGAGAAATTTCAGGGATAGAGATTTGGTGATTTCAGATGAGGGAATAGCAATCAGCGCCACCTATTGACACACGCAACACCAAATAAGTTAAGAGTACGTTGCCGGCCTTTTAGGGATAAAGATTGGTAAGGGATGGGAGAGGGGGAGCGATTGGGTTTTCAGCAACCTCACTTACACCGCGATACACGACTCTTTGGTGGTTTTACGTCGGTTTTCTGTGAGGGCGTGGTATGACTCCGATCGAGCCGACCCATTCGTGCCGAAGCATGGCTCTCCTACACTCATTATTTGTAAAGTGTTATTTAAAAAAACCTCAGATATATTACTTACTTGTTATAAAAATACTAGGTTAATAAAGCAGAACTGAGTGGTGGCTGTCATAACACGGTATTGGAGGCTGCGAGCCGACCGTTATACTCTACAATAAGGTTCGTATGGCCACTAAACTACAGATTTATTTAATTTTTCATTATTATATTTCCTCATCCTCACTTCACTGTCATATATCCACGTCATTCGTCAGTATATAAAAAAAGTATATGGCTGTTTTTTTAACCGACTTCAAAAAAACGAAGATGTTATCAATTAGTGGGATTTTAAAAATGAGCATCTTAATTCACCAGAATCTTTTCATTTTTCATGTATCTTCACCAATTACTCAAAGACGCCTGGTCCGATTTGAATAATAGTTTTTTGTTTGACATGGCGTACTTTCCAGGTGGTCTCATAGTCACCAGATCAGGATCTGATGATAATATTTTATGTGAAGTCGGTTAGAAATACGTATTAATTTTTACAGAAAATATTTACTTTTTGTTTTTCAGTTTAAACAGTAAACAAATACATCTTTGAAATGATTTGTAACTTACCTTTACTTATGAAATTATAGAAAGCAAATTCCCTTCATTAAGTCATCATTGTTACGTAGAAGCTCCCCAATCCATAAATCCCAAATAAAAGGTCGGCAACAAACTCGTAACTTCTTCGTTGTTGCGGGTGTCCATGGCCGGCTCCGATTGCTTATCATCAGGTAATCAGACCGCTCATTTGCCGTCCTATCAATAAAAAAATCCTGGAAACTACTTGTTAGAATATTTTCCTATGATTCAAGACTTCGTGGCCAGACTAAAACTGATCGAAGCAGGTATTAAATGCCTTCCAGACCTATTGGACTATTGGAGGCTATTGTTGGAGGTGCGATTCCAATTCTACAGTCTAGATTAACCCCTCAAATATTGGAAATAAGGGAAAATTTGTTTTTTTTTTATGAGATAATTCAACAAACAAGCTGGCTGATTACCTGTAAGTAATCGGCGCCGCCTATGGATACAACACCAAAGGAGTTTCAAGTGCATTGCCAGCCTTTTGGGGATTAGGGTATCAGATAGTTAAGGATTGGGCCTCGGGTAACATCACCAACACGGCGAAACACAACGCTGTGATTGTTTCACGCCGGTTTTTTAAGAGGCAATGATATCACTCCGATCGAGACGACCCATTTTCGTGCCGAAGTTTGGCTCTCCCACACTGTGATTTTTGTTAATACAGCCTTTAGGCTACAACGCTCTTATAACCCTAGGAATTTAGAATTTTAGAATTCCAGTAGTCTTTTTTCAGTTCTACAGATGTTAACATGGTCAAACTTTATCTTGTTATAACTTGCATGAATGTTGAAAACACAATCGCACGCCCACACATTGTTTCTGTACTTTTGACTAAAGGGGTTTTATTAAGTTTAACTCTCAAAAATACGTTGATTTAAATTAAGTGTGCTGAATGGATTCATTACTACTTTTTTATTTTTTTAGGGAGAGGAAAGATTGGACCTTCGGAATCCTCATTCACTGAGCGAAACACAAAACTTGAACGGCAACCAATAAATGACTCTGAGTGCCATACTCAGAGTGATCTTAGAGTCACCAGACTCCAAGCTCATTAAAAGAGTGGTAAAAGAAATGAAATTTTCTTTTTCATATATGTTTAATTGCTGTATCATATTACAGTTTAAGCAAATGGCAAAAATGAATTAGTTTGATTTGAAACGAATTAGCAACTCAATAATCTCTGTTGATAAAGTCGGAGTTTTAAGTAATTACAGTACCTAATGTTGTAAGATCATAAATATATTTTTATTGGGAGTAAAAATCACGGAACGACTTTTCTGCCTTGGGTGGTAATGGCGGTCTTCAGACTACCGTTA